TGCTAGGATTACAGGCGTGAGCCACCACGGCTAGCCTGAAAAAATTTAATGTCTCCTAAAATCGGCTTAACAAAAGAATTTCAGGCATGGCTACCTCCTGTGTTTGTGACGCTTCATGACAGCCAGCAGTCACATATCTTCTGGCAATCTATATTTATTGCTGTTTTTATGTTTTCCTCCAGGCTAGAAGACCATCTCATGTCTCCCCAGACGGCGCAACGTGGCAGAAACGGCTGCCCACACACCCTGCCCGGCGCTCCGCGGGCAGTCTACGAGGACGGCGAGCCCCGCGCTTCTGAGGCCTGCGTTTCCTCCTCATGTAAGCACCTTGGCAGCCAGCCGGGGCGGTTCTAGGACCAGTGATGTCTAGAATCTTCATGAAGCAGCAGGAGTTGCAGACACGTGCCCGCTCCGGGGAAGCTCTCTGGTCTCGGCCACAGCCCGTGTCATGGAGGTTCACAGGCCCCCGAGCCCACAGCCAGGCCCGACGCTGGCTCATCCTACACGTCCCCTGCTCAGAGCGCTGCCTGCTGCCCACATAGGGGAGCTGCCGGGGCAAGATCACTGACGGGGAAAGCTGGGTTAATGTGAAACTTAGGAGGAGGATCTCAGGATGATGTAGATGGATGACCAAGGCTCTCATACCTCAAATTCTGGGACTGAGGTCGGCCACGTGTTATTATAGAAGGCTGGACCGAGTCAGAATTGTGCGACCAGGGGCATAAACAACTCAGACCCAAAATGCGTTCTGAAACATCCAGTCGAGTTAACCAGAGACTGATGGGAGAAAAAAGTATTTTTTAGATGCCAGGAAAAATATATATCCTTTGAATCAGAAATGTACTAAGTATTTTTTTTTAATTTTTGAAAGGAAATTAAAAGGATTATGAGTAGGCCAGATAAGACTCTAATTTCCATTCAAATAGGAAAAACAACAGAGGAGCGGGTCAGATTCCAGTATGAGAAACATCTGAGAGCTCGTATAATCTGCTCACAATTGGATCCAAACGCTCCCAAGGCCAGGTTCAGAGCAGCGGGCGGCTGCAGAGCCAGGGCCAGGTTACTCGGGACTCGGGGAGGGTCTCTTCATTATGACCAATTTCAGAGGTTTCACCAACTTTGATCAGCAATTATTTTAAGTGGGTTTTATTAGAGCTATAAATATTAATATCCCTTCACTAAAAGGTGAGCAGCTCAATAATTTATCCAGAGATTTCTACTGCCACGGTGGAGGTCTTGGGTGATCTAACTATTTTTGCCAGTTTGACCAAATTCCGTTGAGTTAGAAATGGTCTTAAGTTCTGCAGCCCAGACTTCCTAAAGGGTAGTCCGCATTGCGTTCAGAGTAACTTAGCAGTGACATCTTTGCTTCACCAAAATGGCCACCAGCGTGCCCTAGTTGTGGGTACGGTCATATCCTTGGGAAAGCTTCATCGGGCCATTACCTGTAGGGTGGAGGCATTGAGGTTATCATGAATAGAAATGGCCGAGTAGTGGCAGCTGCTCTTGCTGGCAATACTGGTGTTGCTGTTCTTTCAAGAACAATTGATGTTAGCCCTGACAAAGTCCGGGGCCTGGCAAATTCTGGCTCCTTGCGTGAACTGGGTGGGCACCCACTGGGGACTCAGCCTTGGAGGTCACGAGCTGTTGCCAGTGCCTCTCCCTGTGACCCAGGACGGGGGAGCAGGAGCCAGGGCAGCACCCTTCCCAGATCTCACTGTGGGTGCACCCTGTTAGCCAGCTCGAACACTGAGACCATATTCCAAGTGACCCTTCCCCGCTCCCACTCCTGTTGGCTCAGCCCGGCTGGGACCCAGGACACTAACCCTGGGCCCTGCGCTCCCCCACCTGCCAGGTTGCTCTGAGCCTCGGGCCAGCACTCTGAGTCCTTGCAAATCCTTTGACTTGACGAAAGTTTTCCCTTTGGAGAAACCAAGCCTCCAGGTTAAGTCTTTCTAAGTCGTTTAGTCAGCCTTTGCCCCATGCCTGGTGCAGATTCTGTTCGTCCTTCTACCCCTCAGATGGGCCTGTCCACAGCCGCCCTCAGCCTTGCTCACCGGTGGCCATGGCCAGCTGCTGTCTCCCAAGTTGGCCTCCCTGACCCCTCTCTCTCATCTCACCGCCTCTGTCCGAGGGACAGATGGCAAACAGGCCTCCACCAGGTGCCGTGTCTGGGCTCAGCAGAGGGAGAGAGAGGGCACGCTGGACTGGGAGATAGCAGCCTGAGCCGCACTGCTTCTGTCTCATTCTTTCCCCACTCCCCTCCACTCTGTTCTCTCGCTTACCCTGCCCAGGTGCTTTGGGCCCGGGTTTGGGCCCCACAAAGCTGCTGCTCACAGGCCTCCTTGCCGCCCCACCAGAGACCCCCTGGCAACCACCGCCTCCATGCACAGTTTCTTCCGTAGGACCCCTGGCACCAGGCATCCCATCAGCGCTGCGGGGGGACTCGTGATGAGAAGCCTGTGGGATCCTCAAACTGCTCAATCGGGGGTGCAGGGCCAGAAGGTACATTCTTTTTTGCCAAGGACTCAGCCCCGCAGAGCCAGGAGGAAATAGTCCCCAAGGGAAAAGGCCAAGAATACAGCTTAGAATTTGGCAAGACTTTGGCCTGAGGAAAGCTATTCTCATTTCCCCATCAACCAAGACTATCTTGAAGATCAAAATCATATGCCTTGTGATTTTCTAGATCCGGGAGTGAAAATGCCCAGCCCTGTCTCAGTGGGCTCACAGATAAGCCCCAGGGCTGCTCCCAGCCTGGCTCCTTGATGGGGCCTCTGAAAGTCTGCCTGTGGTGGGCAGGGGGAGAGGGGGTGACCGGACCAAGACGACCTCACAGGCAAGTTCCTTCTCTCTCCGGGCCACCCCATCCCACCGTCACCTGCCCTGGGAAGTCCCTAGTCCTGGAGGACTTGCCTGCCCCGGTGCCAGCTTCGTAACCCCCGGAGTTGGAATGGGTCCTGTGTGTGTCCCAGCATTTGTGTGTGACTCCTCTCAAGCATTATTTTAGATTCCTACGCGTTGTCTCCTGGGCCTTAGTATAAGCCCCCTGAGCAGACAGCACAGACAAGTGCTGGCCAGTTGTCCTGAAATTCTAGCTCAAGACCCAGTCCCAGGTAGAGGCTGTCCTGCCACCCGTTGGGTTCCATGTCAGAAATAGATCCTTGTTTGGACCAAAAGAGAATTATCAAAGCTTCTTGCTATGGGTTTAGGGAAACCTGCAGGGAAGATTCCTTTATATTTAAGACAAAACCGAGGTCGCATTGCAAAGGTAGCAGAGATATTTCTAAAATGAAAGAGCTGAGAGGAGCTTGGACTAAGGGAGTAGGGAATCCAGAGTCTGTCACACACTCCTGCAGTGACATGGACCCCTTTGGCTGCAGAACGAGGAGAGGAGAGGTGGGCTGCAGAAAGGGGCACATGGCTTCTGAAGCACAGAAACAGGCCCGCGTCATGTTCCCCGGCCTGCTGTCGGGGCCTCTCCGTCTGCTCCAGTGGGAAGGGCCTGGGCCTCAGCAGCGGCCTCAGCCAAAGCGCTGCTCGCTGCTCGTTGGGGGGTGAGGGCACCTCCCGGCCCATGGGTGCACAGGGGGCCGTGGGGGGAGGGTTCAGCCTGAAGGAGCCTCAGGTGACTCAGTGAGGAGAGCCCACCTCTGGGGTTGTTGGATTTAGCAAATGAAACTACCGGACATCTAGTTACTTTCGAGTGTCAGATAAACAAATGTGTCTCGTGCTCTGTGGAGGTGCCAAGCAGCAGCCCAGGGAGACAGTTCCGTGTTCTGTGGGCTGAGAACACAGCTGAGAGGACCCAGGGAGGATGGATGGGGGGTGAGGAGGGTGGAGGGTGGTCTGCGCCTCCTTGTGCTGCGCCCCCTGCCCGGCAAGTTCCCAGGCTGCATGACAGTAAACGAGTCCCCCCAGCCACAGGCGTCAGGGAGCCAGCAGCAACTGGCCTGGGGTGCGTGCTTTTCTTGGCTTAACGGCCCAGCCCAGGAAAGAGAATCCTTAGAGAGGCTCCAGAGCAGATGTGGGCTGAACTCTCTCTCCTCCTCCCCAGCAGCCTTTGACGCCAAGCCCGGAGACTGGTTGCCAGCGGGACGTCAGGAAGAGCCTCGCCTGCCCCCCACAGGGACTCCCAGCCAGCCAAGGGAGGTGCCCCAGGACCCCGGCAGTGGAGAGGCCACCAGGTAGGGGTGAGGATGTCACAAGGCCTCGTTCTCTGCTCTGACAGTGGGCTCTGGCGGCTCCCCCACAGCCGCCACACCTGGTAACCCAAAGAGTGGGGACGTGCTACCTGATAGCCATCTGTGCTCAGACTGGAAGGAGAGGACACTCATAAACATGCCCAAGGGACTAGTTTTAAGAATGGCCAGAGGCCAGGTACAGTGGCTCACACCTATAATACTAGCACTTTGGGTGGTGGAGCCAGGAGGATTGCTTGAGGCCAGGAGTTCGAGACCAGCCTGAGCAAGAGTGAGACCCCGGTCTCTACAAACAAATAGAAAAATTAGCCGGGGTTGGTGGTGCGCACCTATAGTCCCAACTACTCGGGAGGCTGAGGCAGGAGGATCACTTGAGCCCTGGAGTTAGAGGTTACAGTGAGCTATGGTGATGCCACTGCACTCTAGCCCTGGTGACAGCAAGAGAGCAAGACCCTGTCTCAAAAAAAAAAAAAAAATGGCCAGGTGAACATGTCCTAGGGTGGTGTGATAGGATGACTTGGGAGCGGTGTCCTGTCTTAGCTATTTGCATTTGGAGGAGGTGGGCTGGAGGGCAGAAAGATGGAAAAGGAGGTTAGTAAATGGTTGAGCTCAGAAGTCAGCTTCCTAAAGAGAAACCGGGCCCCCAAGCAGAAAAAAAGGTGTTCCCTGTTTCTGTGCACCCCATGAGCACACACTGGCCCCTAGGTTACTAGGGGTTCTTTGGAATCTGGAAAGGACCTTTCCAATCTCTTCTTTCGGATCTAAGGACACCTGCTTGGGGAGAGCGGCCCAGCCCAGGTCTCAGAGCCAGCCTGTCCCCGGCCTCCAGGACACCAGCTGTCCCTGTCCCTTTCTATTAGCCGCTCAGTGCCCTGCAAGCAGAGTACGCTCAAGGTGGGAAAGCCAACCTCCTGACTAAACTCTGGGGCTAGAGCCATGTTTAGCTCAGTTCTAGAGACTACGGGGGAACAGGCAGGAAGACCCCGCAGAGCCTGCACCCACCAGTGGAGAAGGTCAGAGAAGGAGGCAGGAAGAGAATGCAAGGGGGACCCAGAGAGTGCCGAACCCCATCGCTCCAAACAGTCCACAAGTCCAGCATCTGCCTTGGGGTGGGGGGGTTGGAACTCCAGGAAGTATGTGAAGACCTGGGCTAGGGAGTGGCAGGTGTCCCAGTTGTCCCTAAGGAGCAGGGGGAAGAAGGGGACAGGGTGAGCCAGCCTGGGGTGGGCAGGTGGGGAGGGCAGCCTGGGGGTCTGAGCATCTGGTGCCTCCAGCCCAACTGCTGACCAGCCTGGGGACCTGGTGACCCACCTCCCACCTCCCCTACCTGGGCCTCCTCTCCTATCTTAGCGGTGAAGGGGAGCTCGCCCGCCAGGTCGGGGGTCCTCTAGCTCTCAATATGTTCCTGATATGGGGGCTCCAAAACAGGAGATCTCCAAGAGGCAAGCCAGAGCCCCCCGGGCCAACTGGCTCCTCTCCCGAGGTTCAGCCAGGCCAAACCTGCCCTTCTTTTTCTTCCTATAAATGCTGAGTTCCTTTCTGAGATTTGCTCCTGGGGACAGCCCTCCCTCCCCAGAAATAACTGTTTTCGTGGTAGGCAGGGGCCTCAAAGGGACCCGTCTCTTCGTGGAAATGTCCCCTCATTACATCAAGCTTCTGTTGGGCACAGATGCCCCCTTGGGGCGAAACCCAGGGGTTTTCTCACCTTAGTGTCAGCCGCTGAACTCAACTCTTATGTTATTATTTATTTATTTATAAGAGAACGAAGTCTGATCAACTCTTATTTTAAGTGTGGAGTTCTGTGTGAGGAAGAGGAGGATGGAAAGAGGGAGAAGTGCACGTTGTTCTGTCTCTCCCTCCTCCTCCACTGGCTACCTGACCCCTGCCTGGAATATTCTTTGCCCCCCCCAACCTCCTCTGCCGGGTGGACTTCAGCCCCCCTTGAGATCTCAGCGGGGCGTCCCTTCCTCCCACCTGACCCCAAGGTGCAGGTCACACTCCCCTGCCAGACTCACAGCAGCCACAGTCCCCTCCCGTGGGGCCAAGGTCCCACTGAGCTGTCACATGGTCCTGACTGCCTCCCCGGTGCTCGGAGACAGGCTCCACGCATAGGCGTTTGTTGCTGTGTCCCCACACCTGGCCCAGAGCAGGCAGTCAGAGTATTTGTTGACGAGTAAGTAGGAGAAAGGAAGAAAGCGGCTGTCTGAGTGGCTTCGGTGGGGCACGTTTGTCCCCTCGGCTTCCCCCAGCTCTGCTGCCTTGGTCTTTCAGGTGAGGACCGGAGAGAGTTGGGTGGGGGTGGAAAGCCCCTGGGCCCGGATGATGGCACTGGCTGCTTGTCACCCACGTCAGGGGCTGCTGGTGTCACGGCTGCTCCACTCCGCTCCAGCGACGTCCGGCAGCTGGGCTCGCTGCGAATTTGCTTTCCCACGGCCTCCCCACCCTCACTCGTGGCAGAGTTTCCCTTTTCTTTTTTCCTGTCATCTTCTTAGAATCCTCAGCGTTGAGCAGTTGGGGAAAGACACTGCTGATGAGGCTTTAAAAATGTGTTTTTCAAGGAAAAAGTGCATTTGTCCCTCAAAGAGCTGAGAGGCTCCCATGGAATGTGTCAGTCCCAACAGCTGACTTGCACCTGGGAATGTGACGGTGATGGTGGCACTGCCTTGGCTGTCGCCTGCCCTTCCCTGTGGCCCGTCGGTCCACCTCAGCATGGCCCTGTGACTCCCAGAGAGCAGCCGCAGCCGGGGCAGGGCATACGCCTGCCAGCTGCCGACAGGTGGCCTGGGCACAGGCCGGGCAGCGGGTTCCCCTGACGCGGCCTCGCATCCAGTCCCAGGGCAGGATCAGAGGCAAATGGCGTCCACGATCCTGCCCTGCCCCAGACGGGAAGTGATGCTTTTGTGAGTATTGTGGCTCAGTAAAAATAAGAAGAAAGAGATTTTATGTATATCTACATAAGTGCTTTTTCTGCTCACATTTGTCCCCTAAGGATACATAGCAGCTCACAATGACATGTACAGCGCATCCAGCTAAAAAAACAGCAAATTAAGAACAACAAGGCAGAGGAATGAGGATAGGAGAGCTGTGAGTGTCCGTGTGCACACATGAACTATTCGTGTAACTGTTTTATGTCTGCCTTTGTCTGTCCTCAGCCCCCCACCTCCACCCCTTCCTGGGGTTTATTGTAACCCAGATGAAAGGTCTGCGGCAATGACTGAGGGTCAGTTATGAACCTGGTGAGCAGAGTCCACTTAGGGGACCCCTGAGTGCTTGTGTCTGGGCCTCAGGGCACACTGGAGGGACACAGGAGCCGCTCGCTGCCTGGGAGATGCTCAGCGGCGGGATCATGACTCAGCAGCATTCCGACACCAGCGGAGGCTAAGTCTCTCCAGAGGCTTTTATTGCTCTTCTCGTCCAGCACAATGTCCCTATTGATGGGCCGAGATCATATACGGGCCGGGCCAGGCTAATAGATAATCGCCTATCTTGCAGGGCGCCTCCCAGTTTGTACATTTATCTGAGTTTACCCTTCTTTCCAGTACCCAGTGCCTTGTGTTTCTGCGTCAGCTGACTTTCCCCAAGTCACAGGTGACTGCCATCCCGGACTTCCTTCCCACGTGCTTTCTCTGCTCTGCCCCAGTCTGCCCTCATCTCCTGCCGACCCAGCGCCATTTCCTGGCTCTGGCTCCCAGCTGAGCCCACCATGCTGGGGGATGGAGGAGCCTGAGGCCACCTGGGGCTCAGCTGACCCTTCCCAATAGCCATGCGCCCCTGCCTCCCACAGTGTCCTTCCCATAGCCCCTGCAGAGTCCAGTGACGGTGGCCCAGCTCCTCAGTCGACATAACCACCTCCTGCAGCAGCCCGCAAGGTGGTTTGGAGGGACGCCTGAGGGTGGGCCCTGCCAGGCCAAGGGGCGGCCCCCTGGTGCTCTGCCAAGGGCCACCTTCTCCAGTGCCAGCAGGGACGCATCTGAGGATGCCCGTTCCCAGCAAAATCATTACCTTGACCCAACAAAGGCCACGTTCCAGTTGGGGAAAGGGGATGCTGGCTTTCAAAGCGTGTTAGTAAGAGTCCTCAGAGAAACGGAACCAGCAAGATGTGCATATGTATGTATATATAGAGAGAGATTTATTTTAAGGCATTGACATGATTGTAGAGGCTCGGAGAGTCCAAAATCTGATAGGGTGGGCCAGCAGCCTGGACGTTCAGGGAAGAGTTGCAGTTCAAGTCCTAAGGCCGTCTGCTGGCAGAATTCCTTCTTGCCCGGAAAGGTCAGTCTTTTCCTGTTCAGACCTTCGCCTGATTGGATAAGATCTACCCACGTTATGGGGAGTAGTCTGCTTTGCTCAAAGTCCACAGATTTACATATGAATCTCATCCAAAAAATAACTTCACAGAAACATCTAGAATAATGTTTGACCAAATATCTGGGTACTGTGGCCCTGCCAAGTAGACACATAAAAATAACCATCACATAAGGGCCTTGGTACACACTGCCAAATGCCCTCCAGAAGGTCGGTGCCCCTTTCTGGTTATCCTTGGGCTGGGACACGGTAGATTCCAAGCCTTGTTTCCTTTTGTTATTGCTGACTCACCCCAGCTGACCCCTGACTCTAAACTTGACCTTGCTGCCCTTTGGCTTTAAGGCACCATGTGTGAAGCCAGCTGTCCCTCCTGGACCTGCACAGCCCTGCATGCCTGTGAGGGCTGCCTCCTAGAACCACGTGATGGGGACATGCCCAGCTAACCCAGCACTCACACCTGCCCTTCCCGCTCACTGCCAGTCACAGCTGCTGTTGTCCACGTGAACAGTGTGTACTAGTTTCTCTGTTGTTCCTTCTTAAACATGGTGGGGCTACACTTTAAAATGATTAAGATGGGTCGGGCGCGGTGGCTCACGCCTGTAATCCTAGCACTCTGGGAGGCCGAGGCGGGCGGATTGTTTGAGCTCCGGAGTTTGA